GTTTAGTTTTACGCTGCTTTTAGGAATATTTCAGCAATATCACGGTGGGGTGGGAGAGGGGTGTATGAGTGTGCGTGTGGAGGGGGGGAGAGAAGGAGAGACAGACAGAAAAGAGAGAGAGAGAGAGAGCATAAATGTTCTTCACACATTGTACCCATGTGTGGAATAATACCCAGGTCATTAGCATGACAAACAAACTTCCTGACTACTCCACCGCCACTATGCTGATCGATGCTCATGCTGTTGATCTCTGGACTGTCTGGTCAAAACTTGGTTATTTACAGACTGACACCATATAGCTGGAATATTGCTGAGTGTGGCGTAAAACTAAACTCACAATGCTGACAAGTCCTTTTTTCTCAACTGCATAAACCCAGGAAGGGCAATAACAAGTACCATTTTTCAACACCTTTGGTATGACGGTGCCAAGGACCGAACAACCGACCTTGCACTAACCAGGTAGACCATGGAGGCGGTACATGTATATAAACCTGAACAACTTGTCAAAACAGGAATTCAGAATGCAAACACAGATATAACAACCAACACCTAAAGCAAATTCACCTTATATGTGAGTCTAAGTGAATTTGTGAACACAAGATAAGTGTATGTGAAGCTGGAGTATGCTGTGCTCCTATTCTGGTGTAAGTTTTGCCAGGGAACATTAACATTTGAAGGACATGTCTGGGTCATTATTCACAACAAAGACAGTGCTTGTGGGTGTCTACAGGTGCTGGTGTTATGTGACAGGGCTGCCAAGGACAAAGCAAACATCACACACTAAAGAAGCATAAAATGAGGGTACTTAATAAACTAAAGTCCACTCAAATATAATGGTTCTTTCTTCAAAGGGTGCAGGGCTCACATTATATCCAGTTATGCATACAGATTATATTGATCTTTGGTGTTCAAACAGTTTTACATAATACCAACTTTGCTACATAGGTCATGTATATTGAACATTGTTGCAGGAGGAAAATGTTTAATCTTCAGTCATGTGAGCAGGATTGGAATGATTTATGTCAAAATTCACTGATAAGCATTTTGTTATACTGATCAAAGCTGTGTTATTCTATGTAAGTCAGATCTAATTTCCTCAACTGACAACAAACATTGACCGTTATAAACTAGCCATAAAGCGGCCAAAGCTCGAACCCTGCAAGCAAATGTCTCCAAAATAGCAACCCCCAAGGGAGCCTTGACAAAGGGTAACAATAAACACTAGACTCACAAAACAGGTTTTCTTCAAAACACTGCCTACCCTTGATGGGTCAGCTAGATTGAACAAGGCTAGCAGAACTAGGGACCAGGGAGATAAAAGCTGGGTATAGGGGCTAAATATTCACCACAGCAGGGACACATTTTATAATTCAGTACTACTTCATGAGGACACGTATAAATATGAACTGAAAACAAATTTCTGGTCACTGAATACTCAACACCTGCAAAACTCACACTACGATCTTTATGAGCTAAAATACAGTGTTTAAAATATTAGTGGGTCTTGTGGTATTCTCTGAGGTATTTGAATCTGAGGACCCTCAAAATGTGAAACTCTCTCAAAGTTGACAAACACATATATCGACATAAAAAAAATTAACATACTAATATTCTTTCAGGTGGGGATAGTTCTGTACAAACCAAACAAGTATTAATTATTTCGTGTAGTGTATCTTCGCCTAACGATCATGCTGCATATGGTGTCAAACCACAGCTAATGGTCATCAGTATCTGCTAGCCATGATGCCCATGAGCCCATGTTTTCATCCCACCCTGGTGAGAAAAGTGTTGTTTGTGTACCACACAGGTCCATGTTTACATACACAGGAGTGAGCAAGATGCTTGTGCATACTTGCTCTTTCTGGGTCTATGTTACATTGATGCTGATTGGTTTAAATACAAAGATCTGTCTGGTATTAAATTTAACTTAAAAGGTCCCTTAGCTTTAACAATGGTGCAGATCCTGACTCCAAACAGTTGTTGATGACCTAAATTTACAAACTGTATGCAAACACTCCAGTATTTTTAGCTGTAAATCCTGTGTCATCAATCAGGGTTAAGTTAGTTGCCTTTGACACCCCATTTTTACACGAGCTGTTACTGAAATTCTATCAGTTTACTAAGTAACGCCTCTTATAGTGTGCATTAAGCATTTTCCAGTCATATTGCCACTGGGTTCAAACTAAGCTCTTTCAGCATGACACGCTAATGCTTTAATCACTAGGCTATACCATCACTACATCATTGTGAAACCCTGGGGCAGGATATCACTATCAGCTACCCGAATAAAGAGAACACAACAAAATGTATTTTACTCCTGATATCCCATAACTAAAACACATTTTAACAGCAGACACTGACCATGACAGTCATAATAGACCTTGTACCATTTCATCACGCCTTCTACTGTTCAGTTAAATTAAACCTAAGTGATTTGATACAGAAGAAAATGGAGACATCTAACAGCAGATACAAACTGACAGGTGACTGCTTGTGTTACAATATTTCAGAGAGTCAGTACAACCCACAACTTATGACTGCATTATGTCTGATGTATGTCGTCAGTGACACTATACTGTCTGTCTCACGTGGTGTCTAAAGACGGCTGCATTGCTGGTTCTCCTGCTACATGCATTACATTAGTGTTTTTGCATTCCCAGTATCACAGCTATGCACAGTACATGGTGGTGTAATGATTTTCAAGGTATGCCCCTGGTTAGGTATCTTAAGGGTTGCATTTCTGTTTCTGGGTGTGGTTGGAAAATGTATGTACAGAACACTTGACATTTCTCTTCTTTGAGAACACTCGAACTGAGAGCTTGAAACTATTAAAATATGATATTACCGGGAAAAATCAAATACACATGTCAATGCAAAGTCCTCTTGGGTTTCTTTATAAGATATTTCAAGACATCTGATCATTTTCAAGGGTGGCCACATACTACATATTCCATTTCAACTGAAGTGACATCAGCATCTGAAATGCTTATACATGTAAAAGATATCAGCTAAAGGCAGTTTGTCTTCAAATTTAGCTATTGTCTCACCAGTTTCAAGTGTAAACGCATATCATATGTTTTAAAAAAAAACGCATGAAATTTAAGAGATCCATAAACTCAAGATACCACAGAAGCAAACCTCAAAAGGACCTTGTTTAATTTCAGACACTGTCAGTAAATATGATACGTCAAGTATTCAGCCCAAATAACAACTGTTTTAAATAGAAATGGCAATAACTTACATTTAGTTATGCTATGCTTATTAAATTGAATGTAAGCACAATTCCTTATACATCATTACATGACCAACATGAATTATGAACATCAAAACCCACACAATATTCCAAGTCCTAAAATGGTTTCCTCCTAATATTTACTGTAAGCTAGATTGAGGGTGCTATGAAGATGACAGGTTGTGGCCTCTGGAGTAAACTTGTGTGTCCAAAGGTGAAAGTGATGGATTGAGCCTCAATCGACAAACCTGATGGTTGTATTTTGTGTGGAAATGAACACACTGGCTGAGAGCCTTAACAAGATGGGTGATTAGTACCTGACAACAGGACACTGACCATCTCAAATCTGGATCAGGTAACATGTTGCTTAATGCACTGCAGGTATCTAGGAAACAACTGCCACTGCAACAAATTGGTCAAACACAATACATTTATAGTTTTCTGTGTGTCAACTGCACTTTTGGAATTTAACCCATGCCTTGTGAAAGAACACACACAGCTGGGCAACCTCACCATAAACAGAATAAACCAGCACTGGTGGCAGGTGTTGGTCTGTATACTTTAGTTATCCAGCAGGATAAAGCTTATTAATAATATAGCTGGGGGTCAATGGGTCCTGTTACAACACCAGGCTAAACAGTTAAATAGGGAAAGGGTCATCATAACCATAGCTCAAAACATAAGGCGTTTAACTCTGATTTATCACTTTCTAAAACTACAATCTTACAAATATATAACATCTGATGATGCAAATCTTCTTTCTTAAAGTTAAATAATGACTTACATCAGTAAGTACAATCCTAATTACAGGTTTAAAGAAGCAATTTAAGTCAGCAGCACTTTCAATTCACCCTTCACATCCACTCCAGTAAAGAGAGGTGAGGGTGATAATTAGTGGGAGGTAACCTATTCATGCAAGACAAAACCTGTCATACCACATGTACATAAATACCTCAACCATTCATGTTTTTCATTCAAAATCCAAACTCTTTCCAAGTAGAAGTAGATGCCAAGTCTACCCAAGTTTACTACTTGGCCCAAACAAGTGACCTGATAGCTGACAGCCAGCATATATCTACAGGGAGTCAGAAGCTGTGGAGATAGTGGACACTAGCCTCATTGTGAAGGAATGCTGGAGTACAGCACTTGATACACTCCTCCTCTCAGTCTCACACTGAAATTCCACACCAACACCCGCCTGTTCTGTATCTACAGATCAATTCTCACAGCCTTGTGATAGAGTTTTATGAGTAGTTTACAAACGTTACTGTATTCAAGTATACAAATCGATTGTTTGAACTTTGATTATGCAACTATAGATGCATTCATATATTTATGATAAAATTAACAACTAAAGCAATAGACACTGAAGTTTTCATCAGGAATTTTTCAAGGAATTTATCAGATCATTTGCATGATAGATATTCTGTTCAAGCCTATAGAGTAACTGTTTACTCGACCTATAGAGTATACCTTATCTATATTTGGGATATACCTTCTCATGTCAACCCAGCAATTTCTCATAAAGAGGACTAAAAGTGATGTTTATCAAGATGACCGATGACAAGGGATATCTGGAGGCATGATGACCAGGGTTTACCATGGACAATCAGATGTGTTCAGTCAAGCGTAACAGACACAAACCATATGACAGCTCCAACTGCTAAATATTCAAAGCGTCACTGAAGCTTGACGATCGACCGTGCTCAGCCAATGTCAAACCATAACAGGTGACAGTTATTTCTATTGGCTATTGTTGTGGCCTTACCTTGGAGCATACTCCTGTATGCTGTGTCAGCAATAGCAAAAACGTGAGGGGGCACTTCATGTCTCTTCTTCCCTTTGTACAATTCTATCACTTTGTCTGTATAGATTGGCAGTTTTTTATATGGATTCACAACCACACAAAAAAGTCCAGAGTATGTCTGCAATAACAAAATTACATTCAATCAGATTTCCCAAAGACAATATCTATTTTCTTTAAACATGTCAATAATACGAATTTTAAAAATGCAAACTAACAGGCATATAGTAACTCAATGACTGAATTCTTATCAATCATGTTTGCATGTATTAAAAATTAATTTGAATTTGAGTCATATCTTGGAGGCTAATTTATTCAAACCTTGTCTCAAAGGTTATTTTTGCAAAATTTACTTCTACAGAGAATTTTAATTTATATATTTGCTTGCATATTTGCAAGCTGCATAACTGAATGAACAGTATCAAATTAATAAACGACAACATTATTGCCATTGTTGGATTGGTCAGTGCCTCAATTCCCCTTTTTATCTCTTAAGGGACCTCCCCCTAGCCTCTACCCATGAGTCTTGACAAAGGATGCTTATTTCTTAACAGGAATGCAATCAATCCTGAGATAAGGTTGACAGTAACCAAGGAAAATGTGCCTGTGCCTTGGCCAGGCCCCCAGTAATGGCAAATGCTTGCAATACTCAATAAGGGGACCTCTCAATAGAGGGGTTTTCAATAACTGAGAAACAGACTGTTCTATTTTTAGATCTCAATGACTAATGACACCAAAGGATTATGTTTTCAAATAGTATGCCACTTCTGCTACTTTCATATCTGAAAAATATATAAAATGTTTGATATTTAAGAATGAAAGGATACTTTATGGATGACTCTGACAACAAATATTATCATATAATAAACAAGTCTTCCATAAATATCCTACCTTTTTCATTCCTCATAAACCTATACAAAGATTTTATGATATTGATATTTTTATTTAGCTTTGTAATTATTAAGGCAGTTAGGGAAAACATTATTAGTAGCTACAGACTTCACCTCCAGTAGAATTAATTCACTTATGCTGGTATATAACACATCAGTATATTATGACAACCATGCTTCCTTGAATCATTTACACAATACATTCATTCGTCTAAAATTTTCAGGTTAAGTATGCCAAGTTCCTGATAGCCACCTCTAGCGTTATCTGCATTTGCAGAGATGTGTAACTGCATGGTCATCTCAATCAGTATCCAACTATCAAGGTGTGATTCACTGATGGTGACCTCATCCAAACATGACATATGTATTATGGATCTCAACATAGATCTATGACATGACTTTAATCAAACATAACATGAAAACATGACATTCTGGGGGTTTTCTGGGATAATTATTATTTTTAAGCAGTACCTGAATACATAACTTGCATAGTAACATAAAATGTTTTGGAGACAACCTGCACAAGATCTCTTCAAAAACAGTCTGCATACTTCGCTTTTGAATAGGGAATGGGTTACTTGAAACATTAAATGCTAGGCTCTCATAGTCGTATGATTAAGGTGGTTTCATTAAAGTAACTTTAAAAGACACCATTAATTAATTACAGGTAACCTGAGAATTCAGAACTGATTGAAGTGATTATGCGTTATTCTGCATGTTGACTTTGTGTCAACTTGCATTGAATATATTACTTACATATATCAAGCCTGAGTAATACCTGTCCTTCAAATTGTGAAGTACAGATGCTTCATTAAGACACGTCAATTCGGCCATGTCTTCGACTTTATTAAATTTTGGTGGGTTCATTTTCTGAACATCATCTCTGTGGACGAGCGATTTTTTCCCAGTTTCTTCCACCACTACTTCGAACTGGTCTCCTTTTTCTGATTTTACAACGGCTGCTACAAATCCATGGGCCTCGTCGGGGATCCATACTAATTTTTTCGCTGACCACTCCGCTTGTAAAGATGGATCATTGACTATATTTCTGTCTATGGCCAGGTATCGCAACTCCTGCGCGCTTAATCCAGCAAACGAGTCCTCCGCCATTTTGGACACTGGTGGGAGAGTTCCGGCTAAGTATCAACACTGCAAACAACTCACGTACACGAACAACAAGCAACACCACAGTAAATACAAATCCCAAATGTGCACAGTTTCACAGAATTGTATGTCCTTCCTCCAAATCGCTGTTAATTTCAAACTGTCATTATGGCTCGGGACCCTCTCTCAGGTTCCGGTAGCACAATGTGCGCGACTTGGTACGAGTGCTGTGATTGGTCCTTCTTGACACGTGACAATATGGCACGCCCAACCGGGTGTCACACTTCACTTGAATGTGGCATGGATGATTTGAATTTTATCGCGATTATGTGTTCTAATGTTATATAAAATAGTTATTGATGACTCCCGTACCGTCTTAGTATGTGCTTCTCATTGGTAATATTTCTTGACACCAAACAAACACGCGGGTTTCTCAATGACGTCATAAAGTGATCTCATATTGAGGTGCAGTAAAGGTGTTTCCTGTTGGACTGGGCCGCAAGCATAATGAATGGAATTCCCCCTGTGAAGTGACGACATTTACCTCCATATATGGTCAAAATAGTAGACACTGCTCCTTGCACGAATTGTTCTCTGATTTTGTACCTTTTTCAAGCGATGATAATTATGAGACATAGGCACGTACCTTGAAGTTTAAGAAATGTGGGCGTGGCTTGCATATTATGTCATTTTTGTATTTATCTTATACAGAATGACTTGAAAAGAAACATTTTAAAGGATAGCTTTTGTTATTTCCATCCACAAACATGCAAAATATGTTGGTATACTCTAAATGATTCATATATAATTAGACCAACCTGATAATATCGCAATTTAAAAAAATAGTGAAGAAATATCAATATGTATGTACGATACTACATGTAATATGTATTTACGAAAAATTGAAACCCTTAACTAATGCGGATTTTTCTTATGTTGGGTTACATAACAGTTCTGTATATCTTTGATGTCCTTTATAAATATGAGAAGTCCTCAAAGAAGACCATAATCGCTTGAAGAATGCCAGTCAATTATCACAGGATGTGTGTATTGTAAAGAAGTAGCCCTCAGTGGTCATTATTTACATCGCTGCGAGCACTGTCCCATTTGACTGGTATTTGACTTATCTGAAGGTAATGTTGCGTCACTGGTACCGTGCTCCAGTTTAATTCACACACTCCCTTTGGCAATCACTCACGCCAATAATCAATCAACTTGTTCTTGTTAATGCATATGACCAGCGGCTTGTTGTCGTGTGAAGGAAGTTACATATATACAGGGTGTCCACACACAGAACTCCGTCTCTCTCTCTCTCTCTCTCTCTCTCTCTCTCTCTCATATATAAGCAAGTTAAACACTAAACTGTATTTTGGTTGGACGTTCGTTAATTGGAGCTGCTGACTTGTTTTGAGTGAAAAATGGAATAATGTTTCCAAACTTTTCATTGAAGACCCGAGTTCCTCCGTTATACTGAGGGTTTTCCAGCAAATAAATTGGTCTAACGTGCACCTGACCTTTCCAGTTACTTTGTATTGATGAAGATAACTGTATCAGCATATCTTAACATTTTTCAACAAAATCATCTCTCCGTTTGCTCGGGCATGCCAGCTGACCATGTAAATGGTATGATATACGAATTTCATACAAATCTACATTTCTCTTGTTTGAAGGATCGTTTAAATATCTGCTTACTTTCCTGTTATAAAATCTATTAACAGCTACCTATTCCTATCACCATGTACATCTATATTGTGTCCCATGCCCTATGAACTTAATGTTTATGTCAATAGTTACTAGACATTAACCCTTGTTTGACTGCCATAAATATTTGACAATGGCCACATATTTAACATGCTACATTTACGACGCGACGTCTAGTGAGGGTTCCGGAAACCAATACATGTCGCTAGTCACTCCTTACAGTATGTGTCTCGATACACCCCACCTAAAGGTGAAATTAGAATAGCGTTGCTTTACATCATAAACATTCCTGTTATTGTGTGGACGCTGTACAGTCATAGGAATACACTCCTCAGCTGTGCCCGAAGTTAAAATGATCGGCTTACTTGTCATCTCTTTGTCAACAATTATGTGATAATTGGTATGCTTGATTCAAAGGAAAATGTAAATAAATATACGTTTGAGACCTAAAATTAAAATTGTGATGTTATTGTTGACGCTTCAGTGGTCTTCAACATTCACTTTAGAGTTACCTCCCCTATATAACAGCCTGAACCAAAGGTTCCGTTGCGCGATCAAAGTGTTTCGTGTATTTATGGGCATATTACTTATGTGCCATCCATTTACGTGGTCAAAGTACTCCCAAAACACTCCCCCCAAAATGACAAACACAATATGCAAACCATTTGACATGTGACCTTTATGTTTTGAATGAGTATTGTTTTACGTCGCTATTGGGCCTATTCCAGAAATATCACGACAGGGGACTCAAGAAAAGGTGTCAGGCATCATACCAACGTTGGAAAACCTAACCCGGGTCTTCCAAGTGACGATCGAATGCTTTTACGACACGGCTACCCCACCGACACTGTTTTACCGTGGACTGATTTTATCAAGGCGTGATGCCTGTGGGTGATACTGATAGCTAGGGGCGATCTCCCCACCGCACCCAGATAGAAACGGCGGCAAGATTCGGCTGTCAGTAAATGTCAATTAGCGCGTATTCATGAACACTGTGGCAAGGTAGTTTTGATTCAGAAGGTTGGACATCAGTATGTATTGCCATGTGATGAAGCTGGTACTCTGTGTGGATATACATGTATATTTCTTTAGTTGTTGATACACGCCGCACTCAGCATTTCAATAATATTCCAGCTATATGGCGGATATGGGGATATATAATTATGTACCCTTATTTAGAATTACCAAACTCTATTTAGGATTCTAAGTTTTGTAGTGCCCATAAAACAGGTGTGTATTTCGAGATGTGTAAAGACTTCTCACATATGCGTAACTATGCTATATTGTCACTTAATAAAACATGTGTTTGCTGTGTGACACCCTCATCTCTCTCTCTCCCCTCTCTCTCTCTCTCTCTGTGTTTCTAAATGTAAACTAATTCTTTCAGGTAGTAGTTCGAGAAAATAGTTGTAGCCTAATACTTAGTAAGGTTTACATAAATCTTAAATTTAACGTACGGATATTCATCAAGGACATGCTATCATTCACTTTGGTCATTTTGAATGTGTTATTAATCATAACTCTAGTTGGCCAGTCATATCTGACATGCCTACATGTGAAATGCCAGTTGATGACCTTGCTGTGTCCGGTTACAGGAAATATTTGCCGTTCGAACAACACTCGACTGTTGTCAAATGGGGCTAGTTGTCAGAATGACACGGGTTGTGGTCAACAAGGGGACACCATATTACTTCATCCACGTTGGCAGGATAAATGGACTGCTTGGGAAATCTTGTCGTTGCGTCAAGCGGTTTGACAAGCTAAATGTATAGTTAAATACGAGTAACTAATGTAGACATTGCCAATATACATATATATAGATAGATAGGTGTGTGTGAGGTGTGTGTGTGTGTGTTTACCTTTGCATGCACTTTTAGATAAAGTCTCAAATTAAGAGGAATGGTGTCAGCCTGCAGTGAAATTTGTTTTGTTTAAAGTGTGAATTTCATTTTCAAAATAACTTGATTAAACCCTCACTGTACGATAAAATGTCCTTTTAGATCAACTGGCCACTGCTTCCAGGGTTTCCATCTGAAAAGATATTTGTAACAGATTATGAGTACTCTCATTCTTATTACATACCCGTAGTATATAAACTCGTGAAGATCCGGGTTAATATTGACCTTCGGCAACCCATGCTTGTAATTGGCTACACTAACGGAATCCGGTGGTCAGCCTCACTGACTTGGTTGGCACATATCATTGTATCCCAAATGCGTAGATCGATGCTCATGGTGTTGATCACTTGATTGTCTGGTCCAGGCTCGATTATTTACAGATCGCCGCGATATAGCTGGAATATTGCTGAGTGCGGCGTTAAACAACAAACCAACCAACCAACCAATCATATAACGGTTGCAAGTTAAAGAGAGACCATCTGAAAAGACAGGATTGTGAGTGATACGTTTGGTGCTCTTTTGTCGACATAAATTCCCGCTTAATATACCATGGTTTTGATTTCATCCTCCAAACTCTGCAGTTTTCGCCTTCAGTTTCAACTCAGGGAGTTGCGTCTCTTTTGTGTGCCGGGATCTGATGATCGCGGTTTCGAGTGCCAGATTCACCCTGCATATGATCCTTAGCTTGTCAGTTCCATATTCTCCTATTCGTTGGTTTCATCAAAGTTGTAAACGTCTAAAACTCGCGTCAATATTTGCGAGGTTGTCAATATTTACGCCTGAGAATAACCAGTCTCGGTTATATGACAATCAGAGAGGTTCCATCGGGCGTAACAGGTCAAATAGCGATGTAACGTATATGGATTCTTTCATTAAAACTCGGTGATGGTCTTGATGATCAGAATGCCCTGATCTACAGGAAACACCTGTCACTTAATTTGCATAAAAAGTAAGTGTTTGTAGCTTGACATTGCCTTACTCGATAAGTTATATTATAGAGGCTAATGTTAAACTACCAATCAAACAACGGCCTGGTACCCACGAGAGGGGAATGACCAAGTACTATGACCAATGAGAATTCTGACTTTATTGTATTGAAGACAATACTCAAGTGTGACAGCCTTGGGGACATCTACTCTAGACATTGTTTGAACATCCATCAAAGGTAAAGGGTTGACAGAAATGTCATGCACGTTGAACTATTTTGACTTTCATGAGCGGCCCCCTTTAACTGCTTGATTTAAGTTTGAAAGGCGTCACTACTGCACCGTATTCCGGTCGTTCTTATTTACAGGTGATGGAGAAACAGTCACCGACACAATGGTTGTAGTTCGCGAGGAATACGCGGGTCTACCTGGGACTGAGTGATAGGATTTTGGGCCTTTTGTTTCAGCAATATTCCATCAGTATCACAGCGGGGGACACACATAGTTGGCATAACACACTGCGGGGATTTGACCCTGTGCCCCCAGTGTGACGAGAGAACAGGTTATACCCTGTCGCCATGCACGGAAAGTACAGAGCCGTGCATTAAAGAGCTCCTCCTCAGATCCCAGAAAGTGGTAGTCCCTGCAAGGTTGATTGAAGTCGTTCAAACAGCACTCTACACCATCTGCTAAAGTGTATACTTTTCAGTGCAACAGTGATTGAGTTGGGTTTTAAGCAGCTTTTAACAATATTCCAGCAATAGCACGGCTTGGGACACCAGAGATGGGCTTCACACATTTTACCCATGTGGGGAATCGAACCCGGGTCGTAGGCGTGACGAGCGAATGCTTTAACCACTGGACTACCCCACCACTCCGCAACAGTGAATGTTTATGATTACGAGAACAATAACCATTTTATAAACCTCGTGTTACACTTACTGTACGTTGTTAGGAAACTCTTCCATTTAATACCGTGCATGAGAAACAAAATATCTAATAGATAGGCCTGGCACACGTCATCAGTCCATAAAAGTAGAAAATCATTGGCACTGCATGGAGGTTGTATTCATGTGTAATACATAAAGTATGACTCATACGGCAACAGGTGCACTAATCCTTATAATGTATGCCTAGTACCAGTTACGGTCTAATGCACTACGACATAATCGCCTAGGTTGTGTCAACGCTGTATTAAGGTATAACTGGACACGATCCGTCAACCTGACCCCTGTTCATTGCACATAAGATTAAATACACGAACATTCAGTAATAGCAATGTATTATAATTAAATATACATATGTACATTCAGCAGTAGAAGTTGCAATTTCGGTAAGGACTGGTAGACTGCCAGTATAATGTTAATCTGCAGCATAGTATACCTAGACTAACGCTTAGTCTCTGAATACATAATGGTATACTCTGTATACATAACTTTGATAATAACAAATAAACCCATTTAAATTGAACAGAAGCCCCAGTGAGATGGGGGAGATTCAGAACCTACGAAAATCTAGACTTGCTTCATTTAGGGCTTTAGCATGGCAGATAGGGCTAGGCAGAGGGACAATGATGTGGTTTAGCGACTGTGCTACTAACGCACGTACTAAACAGGTACGTCTATGTTAAGATATGAGGGTAACGATGTGCAACGGCACACAATACTGTACCATAAACAATGTACAGTGTAGAACAGAGGTCGTCTTGATCCAGATCGCTGTGACATTAAGAGTAAAGTGTACCTGTATTATTTACAATGTGTAGCACACACACTGGTGCATCGTTGCACGTATATCATTATTACTGTCAACGAGAACAAGCCGTGTCGTAGATATTTGCGAGTGAATTTCATTTAAAAACTCAGCAAAAAGAAAACAGGAAACGCAAAAAGTGGTTTTTAGATGTATACTATATGTGTTACTTAAACAATGAACAATTGTTACAATTTGGCAAAAGTCATTGTCACAGTATATATGTAGCTACATGGTCAGTCTGATCAACATACATGTCTTGTTGGTAACTAAAGGGACTACAACTATGTGTCAGCTTGATGTTGAAGAAATGGCCAAAGAGATGCAGGTCCTAGACGTTTACCACGTTAGCTGAAGAGTGAACCAGCACGAGAATGGTGCCCGAACATGACCAGTGTTAACCGGTTCGAACCCACAATCACATATTTCTGGCAGTCACGACCTGGCCGCCATCCGTGCCTCTTTTCACGTGTGAACCTTGCGGACATGTAATGTCATCACCAGTATGGTTGCCACCTGTATCCGGATGTTCTTGTTTTTTCATCTTCCTGACCTAAATTACTGTCACGCCAAACAGTATGTACGTACGGTATTTATAACCCCTCTAAACGGGTTATTTAACGTGTTTCGGGCACACTGCATAGTGGATGATCTCAGAACATGGACAATACAGGTGATTGTTAGTACATTATGTAAAAGATTATTTTGTTGCCAAATCGGGGACAATAGCATAAAGACTGTGGGCTATTCGTTACCTTTGTCACGTACAACATATTCTACTATTCCCACTATCTATCAATGCAATGTTTATTGACACAGCAAAAATACTAAACTATATATTTACACAGCATGCTAGTTACACACGAAATTGCGGTAATTGCGAACATGGCCGGTGGCCTAAATACAAAATAAATTTTCTGTTTCTCTGAAAATATTTGCACAGTGTCGACGTTCTCGTGGTTGTTATCGGAGACAAAAAGTGCTTATATCCCGATGTTTTTGAAGTTATATTTCCAGGTTAGACATAATGTGCCTCGATGATATTCTGTGGGAATAACCCTAATTCTTATCTAATAAGATAAAATCTTAAGTTGGGGACAACGATAAATATATACTTGCCATATACACCTTTCTTTAACAAATGGCCACTATACATAACAAGAAAAATGAGCTGAGGGACGATTTCAGAAGTACGAGGGCTGTCATTTGCAAATAATGTAAAGTGGCACAATAATGTGTTGTGATTTGAGTTGATGGTACAAAAGTTAAATCAGTTTCAAGAATTCGTTTAAAACTGTGAATATCGTAAAACAGTGTCAATTCTACATTTAACTGGTGTGTTTATTCGACTAGGATCGCGACAATCAAAATATTCTTTTACGCCACATTTAGAAGCGAGGGATATACGATGGAACCGTTTTCCCAAAATGCAAGCTGAGCTCCGCCTGTCCGATGTGACGTACCGCAGAATGACAACATCAGCATAACCATATATGGAACCCTTTCGTTGTCTGTGACGTCATGAAACTATGACGTCACGCCATTGTCGTTCCCACTTGATTGGAGTCTAACAATGTTTTAGAAGTGTCAACCCTATTTTTTTGTCTAAAATGGGATGCAAACAGACCAAGGTTAAGCCCTTCAAGCAGACATCTTCCGAGGAGGCTCTGAAGGGCAAGATCAACTGTCCTCACGAACTGTTCTACGCCAAGTGTCAGGTTACACGGCCCACACCCCGTCTATCGGAGAAGGAGATTCTCCAACAGTTACGAGATGAGGGCTTGGTCCCCGAACGTCAGTCCAGCGGAGGAGTTGCCTTCTCTGTCCCCGCCGTGGAGGGGGTTGTTCCCCGTCGCAAAGTTCCCCGACGTCTGGAGCAAATCCCAGTGAGATGCTTCTACACAGCTGAGAGGAGGAGACAGAAGGCTGATCTGTTCCGATTTGACAGGTGAAATCTTTAAGACAAGAATGTCAAAAAATGGATGATTAAACGTGCCTTTGCCTTCATCTCACAGTTTTATTAAGGATTGTGTTTTTGTGTTCAGGTTGGTGGAACAAGTTCAGAGGAAACAACTGGACAGAGAAATAAAACACAAAGCTGTCAAGGACGAGAAGAAACGTCGCGAGTTCATCAAGAAAATGAAGGCGGAGTACCAGCTTCAGGCGAGGGAGGAGAAACTGAAGAAGCTGGAGGAGAAGCGGGCGGCAGTGAAGAAGAATCCTGTCAGAAAAACAGACTAGAGGGAGCGAACAGTGTTAATGGTGGTTGTTTGGATGTTGAGAACTCTGGATGATGCAAATGCATGTATCAAGAACAATTCGCTGAACTGAAAACCAAACACGAAACCCCACCCCCACCCAAAAAAACAACGAAAAACAAAAAAAACATTCTCTTCCCACAGAGGTTACTTGTCATATCTTACGTAGGAAGATATGACAACAAAACTGTGGGAAAACAGTAAAAGCAATCAGGAACAAAATATAAGCTGCTGGCCAAGCGAAAGAGGAAGCTGTAGGACTCTTAAATCTAACATATAACTTTCATATTTATGAAGGTGGTAAAATCATATCCATCCTGGTTCCCGAGCCTCTCATTAGTTTATATAAACTAATGAGAGGCCCGGGAACCAGGATGAAATCATATCATGTATGTGAATAATAATGTGTCAATATTTAAAATATATTGTTGTACTTTTTGTACATAAAACAATGGTTTGTGTATTTCATATTTTGTTGATGTTATGAAGTGAATTGTTTTTGTAATAAAATTGTTTTCATAAAAAGAACAGGGGTATTGTTGTTAAATTCATTGTAATGAGCTGGTTGGAGAGTTGTGTGTGACAAGGTGATTATTTAAGGGTCACATTGTTATGGCAACACAGTATCAAGCCTTTAGCCCTCATCTCTCCAGTAGCCCGGGTCACAGATGACCCATTCGTCAAGAGAGTATCGGTTCGCTGTGCAGAGTTGTGCCCCGTTTAGCGTTCCAGAAACTACTGATCGTGGGTTTGAATCCCAGAATTCTCTGATTATCAGCACAATTTCCGTGTTTTTCATGTTTTTGTGTTCAGTTTGGTGGAAATTTGGAGAAGAAACGTCATCAAGTCGGGGAGGAGAAAAGAAGAAGCTGGAGGAAGAGCGGGCGACGAGGAAGAGGAAGTTGGCTGCATGGAAGGGGAGGGTCGCATGTTTGTGTTTCGGGTTGGGTAGGGAATGACGTTTAGTTATACGTGCGTGCGTGTATATGTACGGTGTGTATGGGTGCTTACGTGCGTATTCGTGTGAGTTGGGAATGCTGTGGAGGGGAAGGACAGAAGGCTGTGCCACAGTTGGTGGTATAGAGCTTTGATGAGAAGAATTATCCATGCTCCAGAGCCCTCACCAACACGTGTAATCCGTGTACAAACATTGTCGTGAAATAGGTTGTGACATCGAGGATGCGATCCCGTTACATGCAGCCCCAAAGATGTTTCAATGTAAATTAGGGGAAAGCCCGGCCTACTTATATCACACATTGGCAGAGGGCAGTCAAGGGGATGATTTTGTTATGTATATTTCTGTGCAGGCCCCTTCTACGTTAAGACCCCTGCGGGGTGGATGTGATACGGTCTCCCAGCATGACGTCATTTGTTTTCGCATTCCATGACGTCATGATTGTTTTGTAAATTACGTCATGATTGCTAAGCATGATTACAGTATAATGGGTAAATCCTAATGAATACTTTACAATAGCCACGGGACGGTGTGTCTCAGTAATGATAGGTCATACATTTGTAACGAATTTGCATTGACGAATCTGGTCACTTCGTATGCTATTGATGTGTCTGCCCCTCTACGTTAAAAATTGTCTACAATCGTTTAATTACTATATTTAAAAGATTGAAGTTTAGATCGTGTAAGCATTGTGAATGTAAACATGCGAACGTTACCGTGTCGCTGAAAACTTGTGAGTCGAATTGACACATTTTAAGTGCGTGTTTGATGTAAACATATTCTATTCACAAGGAAAATGACAGCTGATAATGTATTTTTTTTCGATTGTTCTAACAGCTAGTTTTAACAACTCGTTTAATTACTTAGGTAGCCCTGTCCAAAACTAAGGTAGCCCTGTCCAAAACACATTAACATGATCATATTTGTATAATATCACAATTGAAATGTGTACAAAAGACAGAGTAGATACAAAAAGGGTACACAGGGATGTGTAGCAGGGTTTTACATTTTTAAAAATCTTTTAGTCTGATTGATATATTTAATGGGCAGAGTGAACCAAAAGTACATTTTCGTTGTAGCTCTGATTGGCGCTTCCATATAATAATAACGAATTGTGAACTCCTGGGTAAGCATGTAACTGCGTGCGTATGTGTGTGCAAGATCGTCTACCCGTTGTAATGGATTGTTCTCATAATATTTTCCATTTGTATAAGACTTTTTCGTGAAAACTTGAATTTTTCTTAACTGTTTGGCACTGGGACATATGATGGAGGCAAAATATTTATCAATGTGTCATGACATTGGACTCTTTGTCGTTTTTATCTCTGAAACGGAAGATCCGCAGATTTCATTTTTGTTTCACTTATTATTTTTTCTTTCGGATTATCAATCAATCAATTTGTTTATTGTTTCAAGGCCAGTTGACCCATAATACAGTACATTAAATATACATGAATATATACACATGCGTATCAAAGGAGTTCTCCTCGAGTACGAAACACATTGTAAAGATATTTTACTAACATGAATTTATGATCATTGGATTTCGGATTATCCACTTACTTCTAGCGAATATCAAATGGGCGGTCCCTTATCTTATGTTTGGATCTATAGGTCATAGCCACGGCTTCACATTTCACTACATTCATGTGAAGGAAGACTAAGCCTTGGATTCACTCTCTTGAAGCAATCGATTGTTGCGTTTGTTATTTATGTGGTGAACGCAACAAAAGAATGGGTTATTTTACTTTCGAGTAGCCGCAAACGAACCTTATACAATTCGGTTACGATTATTTTTCAGTTTTCGGTTCCGTTTGTGTCATGGTGGACGACCCATTGTCCCAGTGGATAGTTACATCACTCCTGTGTCGGTCACAGCGGTCAGTCAGGCTTACCCCCGGGCCACATCACCTGCATGTGTCAGCCTATTAATCTGGTAGTCCGGTGTCAGGAGCCGTCAGATGGACTTAGTGGACAAGCTGTAACGTATACACAGGGGACATTCTAAACTGTAGGAACTTGACAGGGTCATTGTTCCCTAATACAGATCTTGTAACGAATATACAACCAAAATCACTTGCAAGACCCACACCTAGTTTGACAAACATAGATTTCCTTTTTTCTGTTTGTGAACGTGGAGAAATTATGATTAATTAACAGATGTGGTGTTGGATAAAATGATGGGGGGTAAGCTAGTTTTGGGAGGGGTTGAAGGGACGAGGTTAGTGTCGGGAGGGAAGGGTGGCGATCGGTGTGAGGTAGAAAGGTGAGGGGAAAGTGGCAAGGGTGAGCTTGGTGTAGGGAGGGAATTTAAGGGTGGAAAGTTGAAGGTTGGAACAGGGTGCGAAGGTGGAAAGGTTAAGGTTAGAGAGGGGAGGGAAGGATTGGCGAGGTTGGTGTCGGGAGGGAAGGGTGGCAAGGTGGAGGTTAGTGTCGGGATGGATGGATGGCAAGATTAAGGTCCGTGCGTATGTGTGTGTGTGTGGTGGTAGGAAAGGGTGAGTGAGCATGGTTTTACGCCGCTTTTAGCAATAAATATTCCAGCGATATCAATGCTGCATGCATGGGACACCAGTAATGGGCTTCACACATTGTACCCATGTGAGGAATCGAACCCGGGTCTTCGGCCTGACAAGCCAACGCTTTAACCATTAGGCCACCCCACTGCCCTGGTTGGAAAGGTGTGTGTGTGTGTGTGTGTGTGTGTGTCAGGTTGGTTATTTGGTAAAGAGTGGGTACATGTTAAGGTACAGACATAAGAGTTTTTGAGCTTGATTGATGTACAAGGGGGTAAGGGGGTGTTAGGTATCGTGGCTGGAGGCTCAAAGAATAGGTAAAAGAACATTTACGCGTTCTACTCAGAATACCTTCCGAATACATCCATATTCATGAAAATATACATAACAATAAGACGCCCGGCGAGCTTCAAAGTGTCAACCTCCGGGCGTTTGCTCAAAGAGTGCAAGTTATAGTCGATGTGCATTTATTGACATAAAGTACAGGTTCTGTTTGAACAGGACATGGAATTAAGGAGATAAAAATAAGTAGTCTCAATAACTTGCTCCAGCAAAATGTAGTCCCAGTAACACGGGTAGAATATACACTGAATATATACACTGATGTAGCAACGATCTTATGCAGTTATAAATTATGTATTGTCAGTTGTCGAACGCATTTTCCTCAAAACTTGATGCGGATGTTTGAGACCGATGTTGCATACAGGATAAGCACCTAATAGACCTATAGATCAATGTGTTACGTGGATAATTCGTATAGTCCATTCACAAAATTCGTCAAGTTATAAAGTCGTGGTTAGCGAGATTTCATTTCCTTTCATTGTTTATAGACGTGCGTGGTCTACAAAACACAGCTTGGGTAGCAGGGAGCCTGTACATGGAAAAATACTTCAAAGCAGAGACTGTTCTTACTGTAAACTAGATAATATTAACTGTATTCAAGATGAAATACGCGTCCTCTTTGATCGTAAATCATATAATGATGCTAGAAATAGGTTTATTACTCCATTTTTTGTATAACACTGCCAACAAACAAAACTTAATACACATACTTAACAGCATAAATAAAAATGTTATCATCAATGTTTGTAACTTTTTGAAATGTATACATAAAACTAGAGGTGCAACTATCAAAACATAAACCTGTCACTTTAATGTGCACTTATTTCAACTCTATAATTTATTTGTATTATGGGCCTTTGGCCTTTATACTGAATAAAATATCTGTCTGTCTGCCTGTCAATACATCAAAGCTTATCAGGACATCTTAAGATTTTATTAAAAACAACTTGCTTCTCACGCACAAATTCACTCCAATAACACAAATGTACTGCACACATCTGTGAACTATTTAAAACTTATATACAATTTTTCAGCGTAGCAAAGCACATGGTCTCTTAACTGTAAAATCTGCTCCAGGGTTTCGATATTTTTATAATACAGCATCGAAATTTTCTGATGTTTACCGGTGATGAAAGGAATACTTTGTTTCAATCTTGTTGATTTTTCTCAAAGAAGGAAATAAAGTTTTGCATTTTAAAATCTGCATCTATGAATATATATAATATCGCAATAAGTAAGGCGAGCACGTCCAAGAGTGACAATTATGCACAAAATCGGTATCGGTAACAGTATCAGGATGAATTGATCACCAGATCTTTCGCTTTTTAAAAGATATTTTATGAGCGCATTGATGTTCATTGACGAGTTGGTTTCACAGAAACTCACAGAAAGGTTTTACCCGTGAAGAGCTGGTTTAGAATTAGTCTTCAGTAACCCATGCTTGTCGTAAAAGGCGACTAATAGGATAGGGTGGTCAGGCTCATTGACTTGGTTGACACATATCATCGGTTCCCAATTGCGCAGATCGATGCTCATGCTGTTGATCACTGGATTGTCTGGTCAGACTCGATTATTTACAGACTGCCACCATATGGCTGGGATATTGCTGAGTGTGGCGTTAAAGGCATAATATCACACATTTTCGACAATATTTTGGCCTATATCATATATATATTGGGGCATATACACTAATTTTAGCTTCCTATTGATACAATAAAAGAATTATTATTCCTTACGACTTGCCTGAAATCGATAATTGAAACTTCGAGGCGAACAGCTTCCAAACAGAGAATACTTGCCATAATATTATACGGAATGTAAACAATTGCTCCGTACGTCGAAAACTGTCGCACGCGGTGTTGTCGGTGTTTGCCAAAGTGGTTTCAATCACAGGTTGTGCGCAGGATATTCGTAAAGAGCGCTTCAAGGGACATAACTCTATGGAGTTCGCTTGAAATAATGTTCTTCCGGTAGTGGGCGCGAGAGACGATTTAATGCAACGTTGCATTAATTCATTCGAACTTTTTAATTTAATATTGTAATCTAAATACGGAATATTTTTTGGAATATATTGTATGGTAGCTTTCCTGAGGACTGATAGTATTATTGAGAGAAATGCATTATTTAATTTTAGAGAAGTGTGGTGTGATATAGCGCCTTTAAACAACAAACACACCAGGCAACCACAAAAGGGTTTATTCATGATTGTCCGAAGATTCAAATTACCGCTATACCTTCAACCAAGACGTGTTATATAACCCATATGTAAATCCACTGCTGAAATTCACGAGGTTAAAATGGCACTATATATTTGTACTAATATAGAAATGCACATAAGTACACCAGGCACATCCTTGTTATGAATGATAATATAACCTAATGTTGAACCCAGACACAAGCCACGAGTCTTGGTGTTGTATGAATTTACATACCAGAGCCTAGATTTTCGAAGCTCTCTTAGCGCTAAGATAGTTAAGTTAGTGTTAATGAATGGCGCATACGACTATCTTAGCGCAAAGAGAGCTTCGAAAATCTAGGCCCGAGTGTCTTGTTAGCGTTTGTCATCGAGATGATGGTCACGGGTCAGGAGCGTCACATTAGCTTCAAGACAGCTGAACGGTTTTGGTAATTTGGGAACAGTATCCTCGGTTAAGTCGAAATGTACACATAGCAAATCACGCCAAAAGACTCAATGACTAACTTATTACTTTTCTTGCACTTCATCATTCGGCCAACCTCGTCCCTTTCCGTAACCGCGAAGTTATTTTCAGGGGAAATGGCCGAAGTGACGCAGAATGCCACTTTAAGTGCCAGCCGGAATGTCGGCACTGTTACCAAGGGATTCGGTGCAGATTGTGTCCATGCTGTCAGCAAACATACCTAGAATATAAAACGTCCAATAAGATCTCTGCATATTTATAAGACAGCTGACCCTCTAGTAACATTACGACCAAATCGAATAAATGTTCTCCGACGATACATAATGCATAACGGCCATGCAGCTCTATGTCAATACTCAGCAGTTCTCCGCCGACAGACACGCTATACAGGGGGAGGCATATGGATAATGAAATTACCCTGTCTCGACCTCAGGTACATTCATACAAATATTGAGAAGTTACATTTTTCCGGAGAAAAAAACTGGAACCATAAATTCCGGCCAAATAATGACCCGAATGGTCTGACTAGTTATTACTGGGACTAATCTCCCAAGAAGATTACTGAGCTAAAGCACGAGTGACGGCCCTTGTGACCAGCTGAAGACATCGACATTCCTGGAATTCCTTTGCAATACTTAAGTAAGAGATGTGTCACCTTGGCGGCGTAGGGGGCTTGTCAAAACGCAGACTGGTAGGAGTGAATGCGGTTCTTGTTAATACGCAAACCCATTCATAGGCTGAGAACTGCTGTTTATCCAGGCATAAGCTCATATGAGCTAATAAACTGAAGAATGGAGAAGGAGCCATCGATTCTGATTTGAGTCAGCTTCAGTCAGGTGAATATTTGACACTCTCCCCATTGCGAATCAGCAAGCGAGTCCAAGTGGGCCCGCCAATAACGTAAGAACAATTAAACGCAATCCGAAGGAAATTTTATCAAGCGCCGTCACTGAACAATGACGTTTCCATACTATATGACCAATTTAGTTAATTTCGGACCAAAATAGTTAGATACATTGAATGGAATCTCCGTATGTCTCTTCAAAATGTCTTTCGTGAGACATTCACCCCATGTTTCCCTCCTAAAAAGTACAGTGCCAAAACGTGAACCTTATTATTTTTACTCCCAGTTGACTTCTGTGTTGTCATTCAGCATGAGAAAAGATTCTTGCCGTCCTGCGTCATCCCGCAGGTTGTGTAACTGGCACTTATGTTACAAGCATCAACATGTATACCAGCTCTTTAAACGTTCCATAATAAACACAGAGTAACACACTTACGTTTGTAAGAAATAGGATTGTTATGTCAATATCACCTTGCACTTGATTAAAAACGACGTTGTCTACATTGGAGACGCTGTTTACGTCACTGGGCGCAGCTGGTAAAGAGCTTACTCTCATCACATGGGCATGAAGCACATACTTCTGTCGCTCAGCGCTGATGCGACACAACTTGTTACAGGTGCCATAAAAACACCGTTCAGACAGAAAATGATCATAGAAGGCTGCCAAGACATTGATTATAATCCTTCCAGAGGTATTTTTTTCACAAGAATATATATCACTAAATACAGTGTTGAATGGTTGGTTGTTGGGTATGCAAGAACGCATCTCGCAAAGACCAATTACCAATGGCATGTTTTTGCATACTATGCGTAATTGCTTCATAACTGTCGTTTATTGTCTTACATACCCAAAATAACAATCTCCTAAGAGGCATAACTATCTTACCGTCATGGGATATGTCTGGCCAGCTTGCAGTGACAGGCGTTGCATTTTCACCATATCTTATTCAGTTTAATTATGTATTGACCGAGTTCATAAATCATAAGGCAGAACAATTATTAACTTCACATCATATTTATTTGTAATATTTTTATGCAAAATTCAATACAGGCTTCTTGATGACATCAAACTATTTCTATATATGAGCCTGCTTACTCCACAAGTAGTGTGATGACAATTTATACATTTGTACAGACAGCCCACCCTGCAGCTTGGATGTTATCAGCTGCAGATTCTGTAGATTTCGATTACTGTACTGTAATGTTACAGACAAGCACATACATGTATGTAGAAGCAACACATGACACTTGCTTTAGAACAACAAGCAAGCTTATCTGCACTCTATAATGATGGCAAACTCCTTTTGATGAACATCCAGTCAGCTTCATCAAATCGCATTCAGGAACTTCATACCATGCTGTTCATATCAATTTAATGCTAAAACTAATCTCATACTTTTAGTTCAGTTGTTAAAGGCTTGTATCACAAATTAAGACCTCTATTGTACAAAATAAAAATCTTCACATTTCCTAGAAATATAGGACTAAAAATCTTATTCTTAACAATTCAACCCTTTGCTATCAATCATAGCAACAGTTACTGAGAGATGGGCATATTTCTTCCAAATACATTATCATTAGCCATGTGTCACAAAACGTTTCTGAAGAAAGGAATAAAAATTCCACATTCTTACTTTCTATCAAATATGAAACAACAATTCATTCCAAATTGATTTATCACTAACAATGAAGTCATTCAACACAACTTAGTGCTTAACTTCTAAGTCAAAAGGCATGCAAAAGGCATGTAAAATGAATGGAACAAATTAATTCAAACTATCAACATAAATGCTTTCACTTTTAAGGAAATTTAGGACTGCAATAGTTTCTTCAAGGTAATCAGGAAATATTTATTAGATTTAAAACTGTTGTGTTGGTGGATTATGACAGAATTTCTATCATTACATTTTCAAGATGTTTCATTACTTCATTTGAAACAAACATACAGTGTGAAATCATTCCATGAGTGAAGTTTCAAGGTACCAAAATATATCTACTTTGACACAATACAGGACAACTTCAGTATTCAGCATGTTGGTATGACACACCTATTTCATCAATGTCGCATACAGTTTATGTGCCAGCTTCCATTGCATAGTCAATGACTGGTTGCACCTTCACAGACAGATAGACAAACTCTTACCAAGCAGATTGCATCACAGAAATTCAATGAAATGAAATACTCCAAAACAACGCAATATTTTCAAGATGATAACCATCATCAACATGTTTGATTATTCAACAAGCTTGATTATGAAAGTGATATGATTTCTTTATTATGTTAGCTACTAAGAAAATACCTCCTGGGGTTTATCTTGGTCTTCGTATTTGACCGTCCTGGGAACTCATGGTAAAATATTTTCCGCAGATGGTGGAACGCTGGCCATTAAACTGGTGTTACCAGTTACTACTACTGAAGCAACAACAAATAAAATATGAAGTGAAATGATTTCAGCTGTTAACAGATAGGGATGAATTGTATACATCAGACTTAATGACTGGTGTTTATTTTTCTAAATGCTGCACTTAAGGCTTAGAGTCTGAGCGATGATCAGCTGGTTAAACAAGGACTATATGTTGTCAGAAGAGAAATATCAGACAAGATTTGTATGCTATAATATAGGAAGTTTCAATCATTCCAGCATCCAAACTCTTTGCTTCCAAATGTACTCACAATAAATAATATTTATTTGTATTCTTGACTTTTATGGCTATATCCCATACCACACAATATTTTGCATCCAGTAAAACCCTTTAAGCATCAAAAGCAAATACAATGAACATCTCAGCAAAAGTTTGTCTCTCTGTCTGCAATACACATCTCATCAGTCATGTTGCCAGTTGAATCTTCCACAACCCGAATATGTGACGTCAATGAGAAGTGGTAGGACACTGTCTCCATCTGTCCTCGCCAGTGGACTGGACATACTGATTACATCTCAGCAGTATTCAGACTGGGATCTACTGCTACACTGTAACAGCATGTTTAAACCTACAACAGGTGAAAGACATGATATGAAGGACCCACAAATAGTGGAAACGCAAAAGTTTAGAGGCATAGTATTTATTAGTTAACAACATAAATAGTGGAAAGGCAACGATCCCCACATGGTAGAATCAGAATAAGCCAAATATATTTTAAGTGAAATCTTCAGCCATCAAATAAGGGACGTGTGACTTGTTACGAGGCTTGCACAATGTAAGAAAACACTGGAGTTAAATATTTTTGTTCTTATCATTGAAAACAAACACTTATGTTTTTCTGTAAATCAGTTACTGAGATACAAGATAATCTTTTTTTTGCAATGGCCAGAGTTAAGTTAAACTTTGTCATCGAAGGTCCTAATTCAAAATAAGAACATAACTGTCAAAGCAATGAAACAAACCAATTACAAACAAAGTTAGCTGCCTGTCTAACAGTAAAATCTTAAAATAGAGTGCTGCACGAAAATAAACTCATGGTCATCAGGCCCTTTTTTTTAATTACGTGGTTTATGGATCCGCAGACCAGAAGTGTGAAAAAAGTTGAAAAAATAAATAAATTGTTTTTACATATTTTTTTGCCATTATATACCGTCGGCCTGATAAAAAAAAAAAAAAGTGAGAAAAAAAGAAAAGAAAAGAAAATTATATATTTCAAACATTCACTGAAACTATTTTATATTTTACAAAAGAAAATCATGCAAATCGTCAGAACTCATAACACGAGTGCACCCATTGCTGCACTAATCAAGGGAAGTAACTCATGTTACATCCAGTGACCTTTGGTGGCATGGATGAGTATTTTCAAGTTCATCTGGGAACTACTTCATTTGTCAAGCCAGAACAAGGCCAGACAGTTGGAGACATAGTCCAATCTGTTCTAGATGAAACAGAAGTTGACTTGTGTATAAACAAAGTATCAGCTGCCATAAGCTGCGCAGGACTCAAGTGCAAATAACATCTCCATATTCCCTTTTTTTTTTCCTCCTCCCTACCGACCTAATTATTTTTTTAAAATCCATAGACAAAGTAATTAAAAAAAAAAGGCCTCATGCAAATTATTTATTCAGTTTGTAATAACTTATAATTCAACAAAAACTTTTACTGCCTCATATGTCCAGTTACCTTGTGTCATGACTTGGCACACGGTTGTTCAATCTTTATTCTTTTCTCCTAAAAAGACAAAGCATAAATTAATACACCAGTTGTACTTTTGTGCTTGTACTGAATTTTTGGTGCAGACTGCAAAATCAAATGTCTAATTCTCTAATTACACTACATGTTATAATATCTTTGAGTAGCATTTCAGTAGCTGTCCTATCAATGAAGACAAGTGTGGACTAATGGACTAATTCTTCTGTAGAATGTGGCATTTTCATACACAAGTGCATGAAAACCAACTGTTACAAAATGCTTATGAGGGTATCAGCATCTATACCCACACATTGTGTTGGAGTGAGAGAAAGAGTGAGCTTGGTTTACACTACTTATATACAGCACTCCAATTCTATAATTTCAAGTCAGCTTAATGTGTGAGGAAAGCTGGTGCAGGTCTCCAATGTTACCACTACGGTAATAGGGATGAGACGGGTATGTTGCTTACAAACATCATCACAAATTGCTGTGCTCGACTGGGCCACACATGCCCTCCATTAAACTGGACGAACAAGGAAGCTCAAATCCTTAAGTCAACTCAGTCTTTACTCTTAACATGTTGTAGGTATTATATTTGCTGGTTGTTTTCAGCTACGGATGATTTACTAAATAACTACCAACTACAAACTGATACCTTATGTTTGGGACACAGTAGAGAAAATCTGTTTTCATCAAGGAAGCATCCTGCAAAGAAAAGGTTTCAACATATCAGAACATATGACTCGCATGACTCAATGAGAGTACTGTTGACCACATTGGGTCTATTCTTATTCAGTTGACACTGTTTCAGGTAGCTATTCCAAAAGAAATTACACTTATTTCGTATCAATCAAGTGACAATTAATTTTACTATCTTATGTGTGCCTGTGATTTAACAAAGCACTCAAGCAACATTCCAGTTGTATGATGGCAGCCTGTAAATACACAATTCTTGACCAGACAAACTAGTGATTTATCTTATCGGCATTGATCCATTCCATGGGATAAGGTGACACACAAGTCAACCAAACACAAACCTGATGACCCCACCCTTTTTCAACAAGCATGGGTTGCTTGGTACCAATTCCAACACTGACTGAAATGGGGTTTTTTTACATTCATTTCATACTGACCTTGAGATGTTTGATTAAATTGTATTTTTTTTTTTTAATTTTATAATGAAGGATAACAGATGCCATATGATTTCAAAAAGATCTACATCAGTTCTCCAAGCATATTAAAAATCCCAGTTTTCCAAATGTGTATGAAAGGTGTAATGCCAAGACTTTGGAGTAATATTTATACAGGGATGCTTTTTTCAAGAGTGCCAGAGGGCATTCCTAGGAAGGTTAGGTGTGACTTATGTGTGCCAACAACTTTCACATAATAATTAAATATATGACTTGAACTTCTGTGTGGTCATCATAGTCATGTGTTCAAGTTCCATGTATGTCTTATTACTTGTGAAAAAGGCTTCAGACAACAGAAATCATAAGGTATTTACATCAAAGTAAAGGGAATTTCTACAATGTTCTCTGTCAGTAATTGTGTACTCAAGGCACCTGGGTCTTACTTTAACCATGTCATTATGAATGTACCCTTGCCATTGACACTTAAGTACAAGGGATCTTGAAACGTAAAAGCTCTTGCATCCAGTCTAAGTAAACTTAGGCTCAGTATTATTCGTTACACTGCTATACTGAGTCTAACAAAACCTTGCTATACTGAGTCTAACAAAACCTTGTGGAAGGTCGCGTCAGGTAACCTTTGAGAGACCTATGACCGTCCAATCAAACGCGAGACAGCCAAACGGATTTAACCAATCAGACAACGGCTACAATAAAGGGTTTGGCGGGACTTATAAAATGGATTTTCTCTTCCCCGGTCGCCAACACTGATCTCACAAAAAATGAAAACCTGCATAGAACACAGATATATGACCTGCAGAATATACGCTTTTGGGTGTCTGTTGACATGGCTATCATTAGCTAATATTTCCGAAAGCTGACATCCTTGAATACTGACAAAACGCTATTTTCAGTGACTGTTTACTCACTCTTGTGGAGTGCTCCATGTGCATCACTCTGAAGCGATTGTACGGAAAATAGCATTCGGAATCGTTCGGGGTACAAAACCTTTTCGAGGTAAAAGTTCAAAAGGTATGTGCGAATGTCAACTTTCGCAATTTGGTAAGCTGTGTTCTGATTGGTTGCCACAGTAAATGGAAACAAATGATAGAAGAAATTAAAACCAAATTACAAAACAAACAAAAAAAACCTTAAAGATGATAGTGGTTTTTGAGGGACGAAGCACCAACATTTCACCTGAAGAGGTAACCCAAAACTGACAATGATACCAGTAATCCTGAACACCAGCCTCTGTGGTGTAGTGGTTAGAGCATCCGCCCAGAGATCCCTGTCACGGGTTCAATCCCCGGCCGCGTCATACCAAAAAGATGTTTAAATATGGTACTTCTTGGTCCTTGCCTGGCGTTTGGCATTAATGGATACAAGCACTGGTCAGCTCGGAGTCAGTATAATGTGTCTGTGTGGGGTATTAATGCTTAAGTGCGGCATGGTATCTCATGGTATATATATGGTAAGCTAGCACTATAAAACCAGCTTAAGTCTGGGCTAAAGCAGCCACACATACACACGCATGCACGTCGTCATATGAGCGAAATATTCACCCCATTTCACCTCACCTCACCAACCTCAATCTCAGATTCATCATGAGAGAAAATATATAAAGTTTTATGACAAATACTGTTTGAAAAAATTAAGCACATTCTTATCAGTCTATGACCTTTGAAAAACGTGAAAAGAATTCTGGTGGACCAAATAGGTGAGCGAGTGAGTTTAGTTTTACGCTGCACTCAGCAATATTCCAGCTATCAGAGGTACAGATAAGCTGCGTATCTGCGTAAATTACGCAAATATTTATGTGAAAACTCAATTCCTATTGAGTCTTTTACGTACAAGTACGCTTGAATGTTTTGAAAATACTCAATAAATGTGATCTTACATGCGTACACACAAAATGTCAAATCTTAGCTTGCATACAGGTGGATAGATAAAATAACTGCAGGATATTGACAGGTTCTATTTCAGGACATGAACTTGACAACTTGCAATCTTTCTTATCGTTTCTCATATTACAAATCAAATATAAATAACAAACACTAACATTTAAACTTTATTATATTTGTAAAATTAATGGACAATGGCAAAATACCCAATTGAGCTTGAGTGAGGGGAGTGCAATTTATTTATTTACATAAAGGAAAATTTGGATACCCTACTGAGATGAACACAAGCGAGTACATAACTCATTGACCCAAAATGTTATCTGTAACTCTGAGCTATATATATAGGCAGCGGTCTGTAAATAATCGATTCTGGATCTGACAATCCAGTGATCAAAAGCATGAACATTGATCTACGCAATTGGGATACGATGACATGTGTCAACTGAGTCAGCGGGCCTGACCACCAGATCCCGTTTATTCGCCTCTTGCGACAAGCATGGGTTACTGTAGATCAATTCTAACCCGGATATTCACAGGTCTGGACCAAATGGAAGAGGCCTATGCAAGAATAAGCAGTCATGTCAGTAATATTTGTGTTGTCTGGTAAATATGATTCAATGATTCTAATCTTTTGGATTTGTGTATAATTTTATCAGGTAATTAAATACAAAACACATTTTCAATGGTTTTCCTTTTCTATTAGGGTCTAAGTAGGAGAGAAAGACTAAGAGTTCTCATTTGAATATGTCCTCACTCATTGCTGTTGAAGATTATGCTGATGTTGATGTTTTAACTGTTAAATGCGTGTAATCTAAATGTTTTCAAACAACCTAGACGGGAGTGTAACTTAGAAATACCTCAACAAACGATAGATCATGAACAGATAATACAGGGTTCTCCACTTGAGCATAAACAAATACGTCATTTCCTTTGAACTGATGAATCTTGTTGCAGTACAATGAAATAATTAGTACAATTCATAAAACATTTCACATCAATGATGAGGTTCAAGATACTTTCTGAACGTAGTACTGTGCAACACAAAGATAACAAACACTACCCCTCTCTATTTTCTAGTACAAAGAACCTAAGGTTACCTCTCTCTGTGGCACATAAAAAGTGGTATTTCTGACTGCAGCCTTTGTTTAAACATCCAACCATAGCACCATTTTCTTTGCAGCATGAGCACACCTATGACAACAAAAAGATATGACAATAACAGAGCTGCAAAGATAATGTCAATACATGATTACTTAATTCAGAGGAAAATAGACATGAATGTATGTAGACAAAGGTTTGTGGATAGAAACACATTCACCTAGAGCTTAGGTTCATTACAATAAATTTGACCCGATGACCCAATCACACTTGAAATTGGTACTGGTTCTTAATAATAATGACTGTTTTTAACTTATTTTTTCTTTTGGAATGGGATACATTTGGCACATAATGTTATTTGTAAACCGGCGGGAGAAACAATACAATAAAAAATAAAATCCTTCTCCTGATAATGTCAGGTGGAACAAACCAGGAATACATTTTCATGAGTAATGATATTCTGTGAGTGAAGAATGTTTGTGTTACAAAAAACAAAAACAGCACAGCCCTGCCAAATACATTATTGAAAAGAAGATAACGGAAATAGCATGGCCATAAGAATCATTTTGACAATGGGCAATATTACAACACTGTCAGGAAAAGGGGCAATAATCTACAGATTACCTCCCTTTGACCAAAACAAAAATGGCAGCATAATTGGAATGATTGCACCTTACACTTCATGGCAAATCTGTTGAAAGTTTTGTTGCTCAATAATTTATAAGAAGTCACTGTGCACTGTCAGACCCTTCTGCAACTGTTATAGTGTAAAGATGTAATAAAATATATGAACAAAAAGTCTCTGAATGTATAATGAATGTGACAATTCTCAATGTCTTGAATAATCATTAAGACATACTAAGCAACTATTGATGTTCTTATTTGTACATTGCAAAGATCCAGATGAATATGAGTAACTTTAAATCAACACAATAAAATGGATAAAATGTTTCTAAATAAAGCATTCTCATCCAAATACCGGTATGTGTTTTGTGTGCTTGAAGAAAACTTATTCCTAAAATGAAAGCTTTCCTATATCTCTTCTGGGTGTATTTGAGTCTTTTATCCATGACATGAAAGGAGGCCAAATTTAAATTATCCACATTTACATTTCCCAAGTTATCAAACACAACTTATCAAACAATACAAAAAGGTAGACAAACATTACATACGGAGGATCCTGCCACTTTTACAGCTTCTTCTAATCCATATATTTTGGATCCAATGAGAAACACCCCATCCGTCCACATAACACAATCTTCATGCACCCACACTTCCTTAGGTTTAGGAAGTGGTGGTTCCGATACACTCATCCCTGAGCTAGACCGTCTTTCGTTGGATGTCCTTCTCCGACTGCGTCTGCTATTCCCACCAGCTTCACTTGTTTGTGTGGACTCTGGGGTCTTCTTCTTTAACAGTTCCTCCTTCTTGCTCTCTTCTTCTGATTTGAGCAGAGCAAGATGACTCTCGATGTAATAAGGCCCAAATAGATCCCCCAGGATCTTGTAGCTGCTATGTTTCCCACAGAGAGCACACACCCATATTGTGTCACTTGTAAGTTTCTGAGATGGCAACATAATTGATTTTTCAGTTGGAAGATTTGAGATCTGGAGAGAACGCGCTGATGACACTGGGCCCTTACTGGTTTTCTTTTTGCCTAACTTTGAGTCTAAGTCATCAGTTGGTATATCATTGAATACTTTCACACTTGCTGGGTGAGATCGGGGTCCCTCAACTCTAATAAATGGTCCAGATGAAAATATACCGTCACTTTTCTTCTTTTTCTTCATAGCCTCAAGAGTTTTATTGAACTTCATCATTTTGAAAGAATCTTCTTCAGGATTGGGTTTGTTCTTTTTCTTCTTCTTTCCTGATGATCTTTCTTTTTCTTTTACCTTGGCTTTATTTTTGCTCCCAACTGGCCTTCCCCTCTTTTTCTTGTCAGAATTTGGGCTTGTGTCCACAGTTTCAGCTACATTGGAATTATCCTTTCTGTCCACATCTCGCACTCATTTGATTCTAATCCAACAGAATCATCATAATCCATTGCTTCAGCCTTTATTCCCCCAGTGCTAGATTTGACATCAAGCACAGATAAGGATTTATCCTCTATATCAGAATCATCGGATAAAAGAACAATTTCCATTGGAGAATCCTCTTCATTGATATGAAAAGTCAGCTCTTTCTTCACCTGAGGAGATTTTGATTCTTGGCTTTGTATCACTCCATTTGTAGAATTGTCTGCACTTACACTATTGTCTCTAGACTTCTTACCTTTCTCTGAATTTGTACTATGCTTCTTCTTCTTTGCAGATGAAGTAGTTTTAGGTGTCTGTGGCATTTGTACTGCAGAAATATCCATATCATTAGACACATTTGATTTAGGTTTGGTTTTGTCACTAGTTTTTGCACTATCTGCTGATTGCGTAGATAGTTTTTTCTCTTCATTGCACTTATTTTTAGTCTCTTTAGTTTTGGTACTACCTGTAACCTTTGATGATGAGCCATTATCTTGAAAACTGTTTGCCATATTTGTCTTTGTTTCTTTCAAATCTGTATTCTTAGTTACAGAATTGATTTTCTGGCTCACATTAGGCTGTTTGGGCGATTTTGAAGGCAATTTATCTGTTCTTTTGTCTGATGACACATCAGAGTTATCTTGCTCAGAATTGACTGGACTGGAATTGCTTGTGGTTGAACCAGGACAGTCTTCATTCTTTATACCATCCAATTCCTCACCAAAATCTGAGAAATGTTCATCTGATTTTAAGAAAGAACTCCTACTCTGCCTGGAGTATGTATTGCCAGAGTCTTTTCTTACTCTAAGAGTTTCCACTTCTTCCATGCCATCAACTGAGTCACTGTGTTTTTCCATGTCAACATTATTCACAGAATTTACAATTCTTGACTTTTTCTGACCTTCACATTTGTCATTACTGTTGCTGATACCTCTCTTTTTACCCTTTTTTTCATCCACAGAATTAACTGTGGATACTTCTCCAATTTTGTTGCTTTCTTTTTCGTCAGATGTCTTTAGGGTTGCTTCTTTAGTCCGATGATTTTCAGCCTTTGTATTCATTACATTGTTAACTTTTCCTGTAATAGATGTAGAATTCATTCTAATTGATGTTGCAGAAGTAGTATCAGAGTGGTCAACGTCTCCATTGACCAACTTTGGTTCAATTATGGTTGGTTCACAGTTGTCTTGTTTACATTTCTTGATAATATCACAATATAAATTTTTCTCTTCAGGGCTTGAAACATCTTTCTTAACGGACTCCAGGTTTGATTTCATACTGCTTGGACTATCAACAGGAGCTTCTATCAAAGGGGACAGTGCATCCTTTGACATTTTCTTGTATTCCTGGTTATCACAGTTGTGGACAGGAGATCTTTTTTCTTGTACAAAGCTCACAGATGGACCAGGATTAGTACAAGAGTCATGATTGAACTTTTCATTGATTTCAGATGTTGGTTCTATATTATCTTTCACAGATGGCATTGATTCATTCTGGTTTTTCACACTGGAGTGTTTTTCTTCAGAATGATCACCAACTTCATTGCAGTGCTTACCGTCTGTGCATGGAGGACTTTGGCTGGAGTTAGCACGGTCTGTGCTGTTGCTAATTGAACACTCTGCAGTGCTGCCGCAGGCCTCCCCGTTCGGCTGCTCTGCAGAGTCATCACAGTTTTTTGAACCCTCATTACTTTGTGGGGAGGGTAAACAAGCATCATTCACAACACTCTTAGGATCAACCACTTGTGTTTCTGGAAGCATCACTAGTTTCTGTAGTGACTGAAGGGGGGTTAGATGGACCTACACCAGTGCGTGGACCTGGATCTGGAGATGACATATCACTTATATATGGACTAGGCGAGGTAGAACTAGAAATGTTTTGGTAACTCTGTGATTGAGGTGGGCTACTGATATGAGCTTTGGAAGATGGAGTGTATGGAGAACCAACATGACTGGATGGAGAATTCAGTGGGTTTGGAGAGAAATGCTGCTGATGCTGACCTGGAGATGTCATGTTTCCACTACTACACGACCTGCCAGTCGGAGAACCTATTGGTTGTGACATGTTGACCGGAGGCATGTGACCTGGTGATCTCATGGACTGGGCAGTGCCCATTGGAGAAGTCATTTGTTGCATGTCACAAGGGGAGCGTAGTCCTACATTATGATATCCAGGAGGTGGTGTTGGTATCGGAGACCGTATGCCAGAAGTTGGACTATGCATGGATCCAGGACTTGGTAAACTCTGGTTACTTTGATGAGAAACTGGACTATGCATCAACATTGGACTGATAGGTGATGTTCTCGACTGCTGCTGTTGGTGAGGTGAAGGAGATGGATATCCCATGTGTCTGTTCATATTGCCACCCATTGGTGACTGGTTGGGACTTCCTGACTGCATATTGTAATGTGGTGATCTTGGAACATGGTAAGGAGCAGACCTACTCTTCTGAATAGGCACCTGAACAGTTTGCTGTTGAGGATAGTTTGAAGCAATATGCAATATACTGTCCGCCACCTGCTGTGGGCTCTGAGTTGTTGATGAATGTCTTGCATGATGATGCATTGGTGAAGGGTGTGGTGTATTCTGATAGTAGTTGTTGCCAGACATCTGACTTTGAGATGACTGTTGCTGTGGAGGGACTCCAGGCATATTGTACTGGCCAGGGTAAGGGTTTGATGGGTTGGGAAATTGTTGTTGCTGCTGCTGCTGCTGTTGCTGTTGTTGCTGCTGCTGTTGTTGTTGTTGTTGTTGTTGCCGCTGTTGTTGTTGTTGCCCCATATAGTGCTGTTGTCCAGGGTACATGCTGCCACCACCATGATTCATCATCTGTTGTTGTTGCTGTTGAGGTTGTACATGTTGTTGTTGTGCTTGGTGTTGCTGCATCATCATCTGAGCCTGACTTTGACTTGCATAACCAGCCATATGGTGTTGGTAGCTGGTCATACTTTGACCCATGTTTCCCTAAAATGAATAAGGTAGAATAGTATTATACCTTACAGAATATACAAGGTGGCAAAGCTTCATGATAACATCAAATAGTCAGGCAACTATTCATGCATGAATACTGAATGTAATGATTCTTTTCACCAACATTTTAACTGAAACCATTAACTTCATTTTCAGACACTTGCATGTTAATGCTTTACAGAATCTGTCTAATACAATAATTTCAGACATGTCATGAAAGAGTGTGTATCATAATATGTTCACCATACTGTATGTATATGTATAATACTTTTTTCTGAGCAACACTGATCAAATTCTAGTCTTGAAGAAAACTGTAGGTGATCTTTGTTTGCAAAGATAACTGTTTACAAGTTCCTATATATTAACAACCTATTACTTGACTACCACTGAAAAATTAACTTCATGTGACAAAACTAACTGTCACAAACAGTCACGAGATCTGTCATGAATTGTTTCCATCTTATCTTACAAGTAACATTAAGAAATATAACCAAGAAATCAAGAGAAAGTAAACCATAATAACCAGTTGCCAATACATGACATTGCTAATCAAATCATTCAAGCAAAAAATGACAGTTATTACAATTTGTCAACTTTATGACATGCTCCAATTTATGAAGTTTGTATGCTATTTTCCTCAACTTAACACAAGCCAGACAAACGTGGAGAGTATCAAAGAAATGCATTTGGATAACATGTCAGTGTGTAGTTAATAACCATAAAACAAACCATGTTATTTTCCTCATATCGTCCTGGGTAGTTCATTGCTGGAATTCTTCCACCACTTCCTTGGCCACCTGGGCCAAAACCACTATACTCATCAGGGTAGTGGTTCATAGTGCCTGAAAACAAAAATTAACAGTCAGTACAAACAAAACCTAAATCTGAATCAACAAGAAAACTAATTTGCCACAGAATCATGGAATACTGTTCAGTAGTAATATCCCCATAAATGTTACATTTTTCAAATATGACTAGTAATTCGTTCTGGGGGATGGAGTCATTGATACTGATGGTGGCTGGGTTAGGTGGTTTCTTTATGCATCCTCCAAAGTAATTACATGATGCAGTTTGATGGTTATGATCGAAAGTGCCTAAAATATATACAAATTTGGTGGTTAGCATAGCGCTTACCTCTTTGGTAATTAGCATTCATAGCAACAGATCTTAGGGCTGAACTGGCTGAATTGATAGATGGGTCAAAGTTAGCACTTTCAGATAGCCCTGGACCCTTGTTGTTTCCAGCTGGAAAAACAACACAAACAGAAGCTAATTTGTGTAACTTTGATTCCCAATAGAAAAAAAATCCTTTAAGTGAATGGTTCCCATTTTTAACACTTTGATTATCATACAATTAATCATTTAAGAATTCAAATAGAAAGTAATTAACTCCATATGTCATGGAAGAGTTATCAACATCACATACTAACAATCTCCAAGTCATTTTATGAATGTCAACTCTTGAGATCTCTGAATATCATGTTCAAGTATCATCGTATGTTTCGTACTTATAGTCTTCATCCTACCACTGTACATACACACCAATGGTATAGTTTCTTATCCGAATTTCTGAATAAACCTGTATCTAATTCATTATCTAATGACTATGTTTTGGCATAAAAACTGGCAAATATTTCAAGAATACTGACCAATCTTGTAGTACATGAGAAATTTCAAAGAATATCCTTGACCTCTGCTTGTTAACCATCTTCTCATTTATAAGCACACTAAGGTTATCACAATATAAGGAAATAAGGATGAAGTAACTTAAACACTGCAATCCATATATCACGCTCATTTTACAGGACATGGACTGATACATCCTCATATGTTCTAATTTCAGAGTCACTGAAACTCAATTTGCATGTAAAAAAGATGTTTGATAATGCATCCCTTGGAGTAACAACACAATTGTGAGAGTATTCTCTTCAGGATATACACCTGGCACTATTCCAGATTCTTTTATAACCTCTTCTTACTCCATTCTCCACTTGTACAAATAATCAACTAAATTTTGAGATATCACCATGATCACTACTAATAACAATTGCACATGTACTTGAACAGCTCTCAAAGCATGTTCCTTGAGTTTACAACAATCACATCACTGGTCAACCGATAACTGTACATTCATTTTGCATTCTCATCTCTCTGGGGAGTACCTAAACCAACCTGTATATTAAAGAATCAATTTCACCAATATTGAACAAACATAACTGACAACTGTGCATTCAAATGTCTTCAATGTCCATACATTATTTTCACAATTTCAGTCATTTGGTATTATCACTTTCACTCTCATGTCTCTGATAACACAACCAATCTGTAATCGCAAGAATAATGCTTAGATGCGCCCCACAAATAAAGGATGCAAAAATGATGACATTTGAAATAAAATCTGATGGTATTCTCATACTAATTCCCAGTTTGAATTATTTATGATGAAATGATACATGGCATTGTCAAAGTATTCATAAAAGGAAACATGTATCTGATATGACCATAAACAGAATACGTTTGTAACTTCGAAAAGTTAACAAAAGAAGCCTCTTAAAACAGACTTTATTCTGATTGGAATTCAACACACACATTCTGGAGTTGCGGCTAAAATCCATGTTCTGGTTTCAATATCTACCCTAGGTGTAAACTATTTACTTAGTCATGTCATGTAGTGAAGCATTCATTGCTTGGTTAAGTGGTATAACAATCTGAATTTTCATACATGTTAAGTAAAGACTGACATGAAACTTATTCTGACTTCAGATTTACCCCAAAAAGAAAGTATATGTTCTTAAACTGTACAAGGATGTTCATTAGATCTCAATTATGACATTTTTCCTTGCTTGATATAAGTTTCTATATTGTTACCTCCCAGGAAATATCTTTTGGGGAAAAAATAAACTCTGGAGATAATCAATAAAAGCAACTGCAAGGGTTGTCTATAACAATCTTTCACAGAAATGTCCATTTTCATGATTAGAATGTAACACATGTTACTGATGGGCAGAGTTTAATCATGGGAAAACATGTGGGATTCCACTCAGGATTCAGGTGGAGTTAGTGTATGTCGAACACTGCTCAGCTATCATAGTACCTTCCAATAGGCTGCACCCAAGGGTAGAAATATATTGAAGACATAAAGGAAACTATTATTATCAAATGTGGATGGTAACCTGTAAGTAAATACCAGAGACTCAAAACATTATCTGGAGCCCTGCTGAACGACAAAACATATAAGAGAAACATACACCACTGAGCCTGAGAACCCAATCTGTTCAGCTGCCTCTTCATCGACAGAAATTTGAACAAATTCTAAAGTCCTTGACACACTGCCCAACAGTTAAGGTATAAGGACTTGTAGAAATTTGCCATTTCTAAGAGTTTTGCTAGATGTTCTCACCAAAAGGACAAGTGGTCTAACTTCGTAAACTCTTTTCTGCAGTGATGAGTCCTCAATATAAATACTATGTGTAACATACATTTATGGATGTGACAGATATGACTTTTATTAGCATTACAATTTGTAAACACGTTTAACATAAATAGAACTCAATAGCCCACACAATGTAAACAAAGGGCACCATTGAAAGAAGCCTGATCAGTATGTTAATTATGCCAAGATATGTATGCTAAAACATTCAAAATGAATCTGCTATATATGTGCAATTACAGAAAAAGTTTCCTTGTTGGACTATGTAAAAAAGTGCCGAAATGGAAATTCCATCTTGCTTTATCAACTGCAGGATTATGAGCATAAGTAGCAGGTTCTTTATTGTAGTAGATCATAGTATATGCTATATTATATATAGCTTTGAGTACGATGTGTGTGACATCTGGCATAGCTGAGAAACATGTCAACAACACATGTCATGGAATCATTATAGACTGTGTCAGCAATTACTCATAATACTGGCACTGTTAATACACACTATTACAGATGCAGCATATATATTCAAAATATTTAGTCTTATATCAATCTGAGGCTACTGAAGTCTTTCTTGATTCGTTTTAAATACAGCATTTGTCTTGAGTTTGAATTTGATGATTGACAGATATATCTATGTGCGGTACATTGAAATTCATTATAATATGTAACAATTACCCTTTGGTTCTTAACATGAAATCAGATATATTCAAAGTACAATTCCATAAAGGTATCGTTCACATAGAACAACACGCATTGTTTTTATTTATGATATATCCACCAACTTGTCTACACTCTTTCAAATTTCTAATACGAAATAGGATCTAGATCTCACCTAAAAGTGTTTGTCTCAGAACATAGACATTCTCTAAGATCTTTTCACAATGTTCTTGAGCTACACCCATAGCCTGTAGTTGTGGCAACTGCAGTTGGCATACCTACAACACCAGAAATAGTTGTGAAAATCGAGAGGTAAACGAAAGACGCATTGGAATAAATGCGAACGCGGTAGCCATATTGGAAAAACCCGCGTACAAACACTCACTGATTGAAGAGTTTTAAATCCATAGGCTTCAAACGTTTCAGCATACTGTTTGCACATAAATGTTTCGAGCCATCTCTCGACAGGTCCAGGCATCTTCTGGAACAATTAAATTTATTGTATGACTAAATTAATCTCCTGAAAAAGCGAAGCCATCTTTCAGAAACCTTAGCATAATGGCCGCGAATCACGTGATCACAGCTCGCGAGGTCATGCGGATCGTGCAAAATAGATCAAAATAGACCATGCAGCAGACAAACAGGCTTTGAGAAATAATGACCCTCAACCATATCTACGAAACATTTAATCACCGCATGAGGATTTTAGACAAATATTTTCAGAAATAAATATGTTTAGTTTATGAATGAGGTATAATTTATGTGAAAGTGCCTCCGGGAGCGATTGTAGAGACGAGACGCATGAACATTTTCTTGACTGGTTTGTGAGAATGGGGGATCCGATATGAGACAATGATGTACCTGGATAGGGCGTCATGGTGTAAATGAGTCATATTGTCTGACATGGCTGTTTTAATTTACAGTCGATATGAAAAAATGGTTAAGTTTTCAAAGTATAACTATCTATAATATCCTCTTTCCTGAAAAAGAGAGAGATTGAAGTGGCGTATATGCAGATGACCATATATAAGGCTATAAATCTACTTTATCTATGTATGCATTGCATGTATTAGAAGATGCAAGCTTCATATAAGGAAACTGTTTCTTTTGAAAAATTTCATACATAAAAGTTTTCCGAACCGTCACAGTGTGACTATTAATTCGTACTATTTTTGCTGGTGTGATACTCTGTACGAGGCATATCAGTTAGTATTCATGAAATAATTAGTGTTTTTGTTGATTTGTTTGTTTAACGCTGCACTCAGTAATAGTCCACTACGGTCTGTAAATAATGAAAGTGTAGACCAGAAAGTGGCTGAGGTTGTAGACTATGCCCCACTCTGACATGTACCATGATTCGCAATCAACCCACCTATGTACCCAGCCTGGCATCCCAATCCATTTAGTGGCTCAACCAACAAGCCTAGGTCACTGGGTAGACTAACACCTAGTAGTCTCTGTTAACGAACATAGTCTCTGAATATATATATAATTTTTTATAGAAACAAACAAGTTTCTTTAAATTGAAAAGGAGACCCAGTGAGATGGGAGAGTCCTACATCTGACGAAATCTAGACTTGCTTCATTTAGGGCTTCAGCATTGCAGAAAGGGCGGGTCAGAAGGGAATATAATGCGGTTCAAGGACTGTGAGACGAACTAGGGTACGTATATTCCAACAGGGGTTTCCCATGGGTGTCGTAGTTCGTAATTATGAGAAACGTTGGTGAGATGCAGAATCTTCTTTGAAAGAGGTCATGCAGTAGCTGCCTCAAACATACCTTATTACGTCATCATGATGATATGAGATGGAGACTGCCCTAAATGCTGTAAGGGTCGGCTGAACGTGGGAACGGATTGTCATGATGTGTGTGATCTCCTGGTTATTCTGGGGTGGTGGGGTAGCCAAGTGGTTTAAGCGTTCGCTCGTCGTGCCGGTGTGCCAGGTTCGATTCTCAACATGGGTTCAATTTGTGTACCCGTGTGTAGTGTCAATCACCCTGATATAGCTTAAACGACGTAAATCCATACTTACGACCTGATGGTTATTCCCATTCGTCTCGGCTTAGCCTCGACTACGGAAAACCTTACATAGGCCGGCGTATTGCAGCTGGAATATTGCTGACCCTGGAGCCAAACAACATTCAGTTGGGCATTAATGCCTAAAACATGGGCACCTTATACCTTTGGTACGTCAAGTTAGATTTAGAACCCAGAGAAGACAGAAACAGCTGAATAATATGCAATGGTCAAGGTAAATAAGAAATCTTTTAGCGGCATATAGTATAAGGCAACATGCATGTTAAAAGGGATACAGTTAGATCAATGTCAAAACATCACAGTGGTGTACACCGATGTCATGGAACAATGCAATACGACACCTACTTTCAGGACGACCCAATCAACCAGTTAGGTGACATAATCAATTGAAATGAATGTTTTCCATTACATGTTACCTGACTATATGATAGAGAGCACATTGCTACATCATTGTCTACCCCACATCTATCGAATTTAGTGAGAAATAAATCTCCTTTTGGATACCGTCAACAGAGTGAAATAAAACCATTCACGACACGAGATAGGTATTTTTCATATTTAATAAGGAATTATTTTTCGTCTTATTTATTTAATTCATATTCGATGGAAAACTGCCAAAATACGGAAACGTTTGCGAAATTCTCCGACCCTACAAGTTATTGCTACCCACAAAACACATGATGTCATCTGACAAAAAATGATACAGTGACGTCATTGTAATAGTCAATGTTGATTTATGGGTAACATTACTGTTTTAACTGGGGTTGGGCATGTGTCCATTGAGACGTATACAAGAGAGGTTTTGTTGTTTTGAATCATCTATATTTATTGCAGTATTACATGTTAATGACATAGTGATCTGTGAAAGATATGCCCCTAGGACTGTTCATTCATATATTATGTGTCTGCAGTAACACAATGGTGGCGTCAATAAATGATTTGATTGTTATTCAATCAATCAATCTTTATTTACAGTACTGAAGAGGCCGTAGGCGAATAGTACATTTAACATACAGTAGCAGAGGGTGCAGTATAAATGAATATATAGTAAATAATAGTGTTATTCATACAATGTATTTGTCTAAAAACTTTAACCTGCCGAAGACTTGAAATTAAATCCATTGCCAAATCACGTTTTTGGTCGTAGTCGAATTTTCATATGCTGAGGCAAAAAACATTAATAAATAGTGTCATCCACTGCCAATGCCAAGTATATATACAACCATTCTGTTTATTGACGTAGTATTTGCTAGGAGCAACCCACCTTTATTGTCACCATATAACAATGAGCTTGCTACTGGCCAGTATGACATCGTCCTCTGTTGGTTACCCAGCCATGTTGGAATCTCTAGTAACACAATGGCTGATGTTGCTGCTAAGGCAGCACTCAACATATCTGTGACACGACTTTGTATCCCATACTCTGATTATAAAGCTAACATCAGATCTTATATCCGTGATCTGATGCAGAAGAAGTGGGACACCCAAGTAGGTATAAATAAATTACATGAAATAAAACCTTATATTGGTTACACCTACTTGGGTTGTCAGTCCAGATTTTAAGGTCATCATACGACGATGTTGTATTGGCCACACAAAATATACACATGAATATTTGCTTAAAGGCGAAGATCCTCCGTTTTGTATCCCTTGTGATGAAAGAATCACGGTCAAGCATGTCCTGCTTGACTGTATTGATTTTTCCATCACAAGGGATAAATATTTCAATTTCAAAACATTGAAGGATATTTTTTATAATGTTGATTATCATTTAATAATTGAATTTGTAAAGGAAATAGAATTACTAGATAAATTTTGAATAATATGTTTTGTAAATAGATAAATGGTATTTAAAACATGGTAGTATGAATTAGCAACTGCGATTGTTAGTGGCTGTACCCTCAAAGGGGGTTAAAGTATCGTAAAATTATTGTCCTCCTGAGAGAGTACGTAAGTCCCAAAGCTTTCAAAGTTAAATTGAAGCTTACCGGATTTTTAATCGTAGTATTTTGGTTCTTTGAAAATTCAGCTAAACCTTTCCTACAATCGCCAGCGGCTGAAGGTATGGTGTACATCCAACTAGGGTCCATGAAGGTAGCAAAGGCACTGTAAGTCCCCATGGTCCCTGGTATGGTGATCTACCTTCAGTTTTTGGCGATCTATAGCCTGTTTTTATATTGTATCGTCCACTATAGTATTTTAGATTTAATTACTAGCTTTAAATATATGTATCTGTGATAGTCTAGTTGGTTTTACTGTCCTTTGTCGGCAGATATTTAAAAATATATATTATTTGTAATTTTATAATTAGATTAGTAGATATGGTGAAGTTTCTGACTGTCAGTGTAGATAATGAGTATCAAATATCACAAAAGCAACAGATGCGAGATATCATTGTAAGGTGTCTCCTCGATTGACATATAATGACAAGTCAATGTTAATGTATTCTTTACGTTCCCCTGTCTTGTGACCCATCACCTCTCCATCTCCCATATCAACAAAGTACGACCAGCCTGAAATCCTGCAGTGAGTTATTGTCCTTTATCTGGAGTGTTACACATCCCATATTAACCAAGATTCAGTGACAGAGTGGATGCAGCTACTTATACACCGGGGACAGTCCCCGCTACAGAGTATATACGCACACGCAGACAGAAGCTGATCTCGGGTAAAGTCAAGTCACTTGCGACGTGCGTGCGTCAGCAAGGCACACATACATTCCTCTCATGAATCGCCCACCGAGGTCCAATGTGATCGCATTAACCGATGTGATGGTTTTATGTCCATTAAAGCAATGTAAACATTTTCGAAAATTTAGAAACATTTTTTAGTACAATATTCGTACCCTAGTTTTACAACATTCCAAGAAGACGTTACATCAGAAGAATGAAGCCATAAATAATGAACGGTCCCTATTGGTATAACTGATGTTATAACTTTAGATACGTTTGGTATATAAGGTGAACAAGGTGCTGTTCAGGGTTTAACTGTGTTGGTGAGTTTAGCCCCCGTGACGATGGTGAACATATACAAACGTACAGCACCATTTCCTTCAAATGATACCGCGTCATGGTACCCATGATACCCCAAACAGTTTTATATTAAATGTGAACATACCTCGGTTGTATATATATTATGAAAGACTGTTATCATCGTGTTGCCTGAATGTTGCATGTCGACCGGCAATAGTGTATATGTACATTGCGTGTCATATATATTTCTGTAACACAATATTTAGTCCTTGAATGTCATATATTCCCCTTAGTATCACGAAATATGTTGCATGTATGTTATGTCTGTAGGTCAGAATCCCGGTATATGTTGCTTGTATGTCATATATTCCTATTTGCATAGTGGCATATACTCCTTGTTTGTTTTAAATATGAGTCATTCTCATGGTATAGTAGTGTACTTAGTGTTGAATATGTAAGTCAGTATCACGGTATATGCAGCTTGTATGTTATATATGTCTTTTTTCACTGTGCTATATTTATATCTTGTATGTTGTATATGCAAGTTATTGTCACGGT